TGATGTAGTGGCCCTAAATGCTCCTCCTCAAAGATTCCAAAGGCAAAGGAGGGTTTACACGCCTTTAGGAATGACTTATGATGCCGCTTTTGATCGCTTGCATAGTCAAGGACTGATTATGCCAATTGGACCGTTTCTAGAGCCTCGACCAGAGAACAGAACCGCTAGTTGTGACCCCAATGCTCATTGCAAGTTTCATCAAGGCAAGGGTCATAATATAGAGAAGTTTTAGAGGTTGAAGGATGCGATCCAAGACCTGATTGATGTTAATCAACTTCCTGTCCCTCCAGGGGTAAGAAGCCTAACATTCAAAAAGGTCCTCTTTTTGATGCTTTGGCTATCATGGGAGATGAAGTCTCCTTTGATCCGTCAATACTCATTCAACCTGTGGATGAACCTTTGCCGGAAGTTGTATTTGTCTCGAGCTATGAAGAAGTGAATGGAATTTGGGATAGTGACGATGAAGATGTCTATCTCAAGGATATAGCCTGTTCGTCTCTTGGCACAAGTGAAGATGTTTGGGGAGACCTTGAGGTCAAGGTTCTCACCAGAAATGGACGGTTGCAACAGCCTAGTCCGTCTCCACCTCCACCGCAATAATAACCAATAGTTGATCCCATCGACCCTGTAAACAACGATGTGGTCAAACAATTACGAAAGACTAAGGTGGAAATGAATGTATGGAAGCTTTTAGCCACCTCTCACGAGCATCGAAAGGATGTGATGGATGCTCTGGTGAAAATAGGAGTTGATGATGGTATGACTCCTCAAGGACTAGTCAACTTTCTCACTACTGAATTGCCAAGTACTAGAAATTTGATTTCCTTTTCTGACAAGGATCTGCCCCCGGAAGGGGACCAACATAACAAGGCCTTACACCTCACAATGGTGTGTAGGAAGATGAATGTTCCTATGAGCCTGGTTGATAATGGCTCTGCAATCAATGTATGCCCACTCCGCACTACAAAGAAGTTGGGCATAAAAAATGAAGAACTAACTCCCTCTACTCAAGGGATTCACGCTTATGATAATACTCGCCGTCAAGCCGTGGGTACTATCATGATAAACATAACTACTTGAGCCATTTAACGTCGCACCAAGTTTCAGGTGGTGGACATTAAGGCTTCTTTCAATCTGTTGTTAGGACGTCCTTGGCTTCATGAGCTAAAGGTGATCCCATCGTCATTGCACCAAAAAGTGAAAGCCATAGTTGTAGGGGTTCCAATTACCATTGATGCCTCCCCCATGCGCATTCAATTTATCGATACTCCCATCGTCCATGTTGAACATGATGAAAAAGATGAAGATCTCTAGGGGTTTTCGCTCGATGATGTTCTCATGATCGAAGAAGAGGAGAAGTGTCATCTCGACTTTGATCCTTATTCAAATACCATTGTTAATTCCATTATGAAGAAGCAAGGGCATTTCCCTGGAATGACCCTCGGACTCAAAAAGAAAATGGCTGAACTTTGCGGCCATCCTGGTGCGCTTAAGAAAGATACCTTTGGCTTGGGATTCAAGCCAACAAAAGAAGATGTGAAACAATCCCTCCTGAAAATGAAGGCTCGCAATAATGCTCGAATCATGAAGATGGAAATGGTCATGGATCCATATCCATTCACCCTCAATGGCCAATATATCAAAGAAGGGGAAGACTTCCCATGCTATGAATTCCCTGAGCCTTTCGTCCACGATGGGAGGGGCGAGCCAGGGTTCGAGATGTTCCTCGATTGTGACTTCATCAATGAAGGTGAAGAACTCTTCACAACTGAGAAACCAGCTAGTCCAAGCTCTGATGATCTTAACATTAACCTCCTTTTTGGACTAGAAAAGAATGAATCCAAGCCTGTCTGCAATGATGATTCCGAGCTCATTCAAGATGTTATATAAAGCAAGGATTTTGACCCCTCTAAGTTAATCGTCCAGGCTGATAATGTTTCAAAAGGATGGCGTAAGACATTGAAGATCACTACGCCAAGCGGAGAAAAGTTGGAAATAACCGCTGGCGAAGGTCCTATGTTTGATGAGTCTGAGTCGTCTGGGTCCGAGTCCGAGTCTGAGTCTAAGTCTGTGGACGAGTCCTTAGGGTCTGAGGCCAACCCTCTTTCAGCTATAGAGTCCAATCCTGAGTCTCTTGTTGAGTCTTCTCTTTCTATCCCAAATAATTCCGGTGAGGTCGCAGCTGACCTTGCCCCTCTTGGTGTGTTGACAGATGAATTCAATAAAATGAATACCTTTGCTTACGATGCGTGTCATTCCCCTAACCCTGATCAATATTGCTTTGCTAATGATTAAAATGACAAAGAAATAATAAAAGCGATGGAATAACACGAAAATAAAACAACAATTATTGAAGATACAAAAACAATTAATATTTCCAATGATACGACTATCAAAGAAGTAAAAATTAGATTAACACTAAGTCAAGATGAACGCAAAGAGCTAATTAACTTGCTTAGTGAATTTGGTGATGTATTTTCTTGGCCATACCAAGATATGCCAGGAATTGACAGGGATATAGCTCAGCATACGATGCCACTCATTCCAGGAATGAAGCATGTCAAACAAAAACTACGCCGAATGAAATCGGATGTCGATCTCAAAATCAAAGAAGAAATCAGAAAACGATTGGCTGTAGGTTTCATCAAAGTATCCAAGTATCCAGAGTGGATAGCAAATGTGGTTCCAGTTTCGAAGAAGGATGGAAGGGTCAGAATGTGTGTTGATTACAGGGACCTCAATAAAGCAAGTCCGAAATATGGGTTCCCTCTACCTCACATTGACATTCTAGTGGATAACACAACAAACCATGCACTCCTCTCGTTCATGGACGGCTACGTCGGATATAATCAAGTATTAATGGCCGAAGAAGACATGGAGAAAACCACATTCATCACACAATGGGGTACATATTGCTATACGGTAATGTCATTCGGGTTGAAAAACACGGGTTCCACCTACCAAAGAGCAGCCACAACATTGTTACATGATATGATGCACAAAGAGGTGGAGGTCTATGTCGATGATATGATCGTTAAGTCAAAAGATCGCCCAGGCCACATCATCGCACTTCGCAAGTTCTTTGGAAGACTCCGCAAGTACAACATGAGATTAAATCTAGCAAAGTGTGCATTTGGGGTCACATTAGGAAAACTACTTGGTTATGTGATCAGTTCTCGAGGGATTGAAATTGATCCCACAAAAGTCAAAGAGATCATGGCCATGCCACCGCCCAAGAATGAGAAAGAAATTCGAGGCTTCATTGGAAGGCTGCAATATATAAGTAGGTTCATATCAAAACTCACAATGATGATTGCCAAAAAGCTTAAGAAAAATGTCCAAGTCACATGGGATGATGATTGCCAAAAAGCTTTCGACAAAATCAAAGAGTACCTGACAAACCCACCCATGCTAGCGCCAGCAATACCTGACTTTCCTCTTCTACTCTACCTTACGGTCACAAGAGAAACGATGGGGGCAATGCTAGCACAAGAGATCGAAAGCAAGGAGAATGCAATTTACTATTTGAGCAATAAGCTTCAAGGATATGAGACACAATACACACCACTTGAAAAGTTGTGTCTCGTACTTGTGTGGGCCGCACAGAAACTAAGACATTACATGCTCACTCATACAGTGCATGTCGTGTCCAAGATGGATCCTCTCAAGTACTTGTTCAAAAAATCCACACTCAATGGCAGATTATCAAGGTGGATAGTCAACCTTGCTCAATTTGACTTGAAATTTGTACCAAAAAAAGCCATCAAAGGTTCTGCGGTTTCTGACTTCTTAGCAGATTTTCCGCTAGAAGAAGTTGAGAAAGAAGAAGATGAGTATGATTTCCCTGACGAAGATTTACTCATGACTGAAGATGATAGATGGACGCTCTATTTCGATGGAGCTTCAAACCAAAAAGGTTGTGGTGTAGGAGTCATTGCTCGTATCACCCAATGAAGAGCATATCCCAATTTCCATGAAGCTCGACTTTGATGTCGCAGAGTACGAGGCATGCATTTTGGGATTAGAAAAAGCTATAGCCTTGGGAATTAAGAAGCTCAGAATCTACGGTGATTCTTCACTAATCATTAACCAGATCTCCAAGAGATGGAAGGTGAGAAGTGAAAGTCTCGCTACGTATCAAGCTCATTTAGAAACTCTCACAAAGCAACTAGATGAAGTGGAATATATGTACTTGCCTAGAGAAGAAAACCAGTTCGCCGACGCACTGGCTTAATTAGCATCAATGGTCCGAATTCCAACGGATACAATCAAAATGTCGTTGACCATAGAAAGAAGATATGAACCGACTTATGTTTACGCACTTGATGATGAACAAGAATCACAAGAAGAAGATGAAGAGCCATGGTATACAAATATCCTTAACTACGTGACAAAAGGAGAATACCCTTTTAATACTGATAAAAGGGCACACCGTGCTTTGAGTCTTCTGGCCTCACAGTATGTGCTCATTAGGGGAGAACTCCACAAAAGGACTGCACTAGGGAGAAATCTCTTATGCATAGCCAAGAAAGAAGCACACAAAACCATGGAAAATCTTCATGCCGGCATATGTGGAACACATATGAATGCTAAGATGTTAGTCCAGAAGATTTAACGACAAGGTTATTATTGGACTACAATGGAGAGAGATTGTCACGAATACGTCAAGAAATGTATGAAATGTCAAGTCTATGCAAATTTGCAGCACGTTCCACCTTCGCTTCTATACACATATACCTCTCCATGGCCTTTCTCTACTAGGGGTATCAACATCATTGGAAAGATAACGCCACCAGGACAAGGGGGGCATGAATTCATCCTCGTAGCAATCGACTATTTCACCAAATGGATCGAAGCTGCCTCATATGCCAAGTTAACAGCAAAACATGTAGTTCAATTCATTGATAAAAATATCATATGCCGCTATGGGGTACCTCATGAGATGATCAGTGATAATGGAACTATTAATTAAAGTGGTTATAATAAATTAATAATAATAATAAAAGTATTCCTATTTCTTAGCCTAATTTCCCACCAAACTACTAGTACTAGAATACTAGTCTACTACTCACAATAACCCACGACTTCACTTCCCTCCACTTCATAATTTTTTTTTTGTTTTGCCGCTAGATACCACAGCCCTCAACCACAATTTCCCCAAATTGAGTTCCCTTCAATCCAAATCCAAATCCAAATCCCAATTTTCCTAAAGTAATTAAAGAGTTCCCTTCAGCCCAATTAATTATTGAGCAGTTCCTCTTCTCCGGCAAATTGTGGGCAGTTGAATAATTCTTCTATTTTGCAAATTGCGTGCTTCCATTGTCTTCTCATCTGGTGTTTGCGGGATTTATTGATTGAAATTATCAATTGTGAGTATGTTTTTTTTTCCTGTAATTGCATTTTTTAGGTATTAATTTGCTGTTTTTAATGGGTCAATATGCAATTTTTTTGGGTTATGTTGTTTATAGGACTTTTAGTTATGAAATTTGCAATTTTGATTAAGGTTTTTTGAGGTTTAATCTGAATTTGCTAATTTGCATGTTTATAAATTGTATTTTATTCCATTTTATTCTAGTTGTTTGATGTTTCATTAGGCTTATATGACCCCCCATTTCCTATTTAATTGAGGTAGAAGGCTAACATGTGTTTTAGCGTTATATTATGTTCTCAAAAGCTACTCTCTTGCTTGATTTAACTCATGGAAATACCAACCTATAATTAACATCTATGGTTCTTGTATCATAGTATATTTAGTGACCTTATAAATATCACTTGTATTATAGTCACCTTGTTACAACTGCTAGCTAATTTAGGAGTTATCATGGATAATGATTTGTGTCCCTACTTGAATATTTCTAGTCTCTATAGTTTAATAAAGAAAAGTAGTATTAATGGAGTATAGAAACTTGAAAAGAAAAGAGGCTTGGTTATTGTAAAAAGGACCAACACATATGCCTTAGACTAACTTGGCTTTCATTATAATCTTAAAGGTAAGTGCATTTAGATTAGCAGGTCAAAACGAGTGAAAAGTATGGCCACATAATATGCTAATGCACAAATTAATCTTGGAACACTTTTAGTCTAATTGAAATCTACACCATGTACTACTATCTTGAGTAGATTGATATACCTCAATTATTAATAATTATTAAATCATACTTTATTGTATAGTGGAATATTAAAGCGTTTCTATTACTCCTACACTTTTTAAGTGTTACAATCTAACAAACACAAAGTTTTATGAAAATCAATGACTTTATTATAAAAGGTTGTAAGTGGGTTAGTGGGGTATTATTGTAAGAAAATTTAGATGGGTTAGTATTTATTGACAAGTAAAGGACGTGAGAGGGAAAAAAAATAGTTTAAAAAAATTAGTATTGTGTTAAAGACGCGACCACAAGGAGGGAGTTGTTAAAATATGTTAAAAATTACTTGTATCGTATTAAATTTGGATACTACATATATGTCAGCAGTTAATTGATTTCATTATTGTTTATTTTTTTTAATTGTAATTAATACCTCACTCTATTATCTAATTTTATAAGGTTAAAAAGCCCATCAATGACTTTTTTAAAAAAAAATTATTTAAGAAATTTCATGGAAAAGGTGATCTTGTATATATACACAAACTATATTAACCTAAATTAGTATAATTATCATTAGTTATTCCTTTTATTAGTTATCGTAGTTTTACTTTTATGGTGTAGCAATATAAAAATGGATCGGAAATGGATGCTTACAAGGCGTACTAGTGATGAATATGAACAAGGGGTAGATGAGTTTCTTGCATTTGCTATTGAACATGCCGAAGGTCCATCTCGCATTTTGTGTCCATGTGTCAATTGTAACAACATGATCCGACACAATGTTGAGGATGTAAGAATCCATTTAGTGGTTAATGGAATCATCCAACAGTACAAGTCTTGGATAAAACACGGTGAGACATTAGGGGACATACCTTCTTATGTAGGTACTGAGATGTATGATGAAATGAATGATGATGAAATAGAAGATAATTTCCATCTAGGCAATGACCGTCTAAAAGAAATGACAAGTATTTTAGAGGAAAACATCGAAGATAGTTTTGAAATGTTTGACACCTTATGTAGTGGTGCAAAGACCCCTTTGTGCCCTGGTTGTTCTACATTTATCAAATTATCTGTTGTGTTGAAATTATACCATCTTAAAGCTCGTAGTGTATGAACTGATACAAGTTTTTCGAGCTTACTCGAATTAGTGAAAGAGATGCTTCCTGTTGATAATGTGCTTCCGGGTCGTATTTACGAGGCAAAGAAGATGTTGTGCTCTATGGTCATGGGGTATGAAAAAATACATGTCTGCCCTAATGATTGCATTTTATATCGAAAAGGATATGCCTCTTTAGAAAGCTGCCCTGAATGTAAGGCTCCACGATACAAGGAAAATAATGTGCCAGCTAAGGTTATGTGGTATTTTCCAATAGTGCCAAGATTTAAGCGCTTATTTAGTATTGCTGAAGAATCAAAGAATTTGACATGGCATGAAGATGGGAGAAAAAAAGACGTTTTACTTAGACACCCGACCGACTCTCCGCAATGAATCAAAATTAACCGTGACTTTCCCAAATTTGGGGCGGAGCATAGAAATTTGCGTCTCGCCCTTGCTGCTGATGGAATGAATCCTTTTAGTAATCAAAGTTCTCGTCATAGTACATGGACAGTCATTTTGATGATATATAATCTTCCTCCTGAATTGATAATGAAAAGGAAGTATATGATACTACCATGCTAATTTCGGTCCCAAAACAACCTGGGAACGACATAGATGTATATTTAGAACCCTTAATTGACGATTTGAAGATGATGTGGGAGCATGGTGTAGAGGTGTATGATGCTTATCGCGATGAAGAATTTAATTTGAAAGCATTGCCTTTTGGTACAATAAATGATTTTCCGACATATGGAAATTTGGCAGGTTATACTACTAAAGGCTATGAAGCATACCCCATATGCCAGAATAACACATTCTCATTTTACTTGAATCACTCCCGCAAAGTTGTTTACCCTGGAAATCGCAAATTTCTGCCAGTCAATCATCAATATCGAAGGTGGAGAAAAGCTTTTGATGGGACTTCTGAAGATGGGACTCTTCCAGTGCCGCCAACAGTAGAACAAATACTTGAGAAAATGGAGAATTTGAATGTCAAGTTTGGAATTTGAATGCAAAATATGTACCGAGTGTTGGTTCCAAAAAGAGACCTTCCTTATTGGAAAACCTTACATATTAGACACTTCCTAGATGTGATGCATATTGAAAAAAATGTGTGTGACAGTATTATAAGTACTTTACTTAATGTAAAGAATAAAAGTAAAGATGGTGAGGCTGCTAGACTAGATTTAGTTGACATGAAAATCAGACCTGAATTGTCACCAGCACCAGTTAAGGGCACAAATCGTATATATCTCCCACCTGACTGCCACAATCTATCAAGGATGGAGAAAGTTTCTTTTTGTGAGTTTCTTTCTTGAGTTAAGGTTCCTGAAGGTTATTCTTCAAACATTAAAAGGCTCGTGGCAATGAAAGACTTGAAGCTAATTGGTTTGAAGTCACATAATTGTCATATTCTAATGGAGCATCTTCTTCCAATGGCTATTCGCTCTATTTTGCCAAAAGCTGTTCGAAATGCTATCACAAAACTTTGTATATTTTTCAGTGAGATTTGTAGCAAAGAGATTGACCCCTTTAAATTGAGTGACTTGCAAAAGGACCTTGTTGTTTCATTGTGTAAGTTGGAGATGTATTTTCCGCCATCATTTTTTGACATTATGATTCATTTAACTGTTCATTTGGTTAGAGAAGTTCGATTATGTGGACCTGCATATTTGAGATATATGTATGCGACTGAGAGGTTCATGAAAATTTTGAAGGGGTATGTTATGAGTGGGAATCACCCAGAAGGTTGCATTGTGGAGCGTGCCTTAGTTGAAGAAGCTCTTGAGTTTCGTAGTCAGTACCTTTCCAAAGTCGATGCAATAGGAATCCCAAAGACAAGGCATACAAAAGGGTATGAAGGAAGAGGAATAGTGGGAAAAAGTGGTCTCTCTATCACACAATAAAAGGCATCGAGCACACTTGTATGTACTGCACAATAGTGAAGATATTGATCCGTATGTAAAGGAACACTTGGAGTTTTTAAGGGATTTAAATCCACGTAAGATTGAAATATGGATAGTGGAAGAACATAATCGCTCTTTCGTTGAGTGGTTTTAACTTCGAATTGCTGATGAATTAGCTAAGTCACCTTCAAATGTTTCTGACAGACTAAAATGGCTATCTCGGGGTTCTTGTTTTGAGGTTTTATCATATTCTGGTTATCAAATCAATGGGTATACTTTTTACACAAAGGACAGGGAAAAAGAAACCACTATGCAAAATAGTGGGGTGTCGGTGTTGGCCCAGCTATGCATATCTCTAGTGGAAAAGATAAAAACCCAATATATGCAGATATGACTTATTATGGAGTCATCCACGACATATGGGAATTGGATTATAGGACATTTCAAATTTCGATTTTCAGTTGTAATTGGGTTGATCACAATAATGGTGTGAATTTTGAGAACCCAGGGTTCACTATTGTTGATCTTACAAAAGTGGGTTATAAGGAGGAGCCATTCATATTTTCTTCACAAGCAAAGCAAGTTTTTTATGTGACTGACCCGGCAAATAAAATGAGACATGTTGTTTTGTCATCAAATAAAAGAAATGTGTTTGGAGACCAAGATATAGATGACCTAGAAGACCCTTCATTCTCATTACAATCTCATTGATTTAGCAACAATGTAGTGGAGAATGAGGCATACACAAGAGTTGATCATGGAGAGGGTATATGGGCCGAAAATGCATCAAACTCAAGTACTAATAAGGGAAAAAAGAGAAAAAAGCAATAATTTGGTAATCATACAACCATCTGTTTTTCCCTCTTAGCCCCAAGTCTTTTAATTTTATATTACAAATATGTACATATGTTTAATGTGATTTTAATCATCATTTCATGTCTCAATAAGATTTAAAACTGAATAATCATCCCATGTGATTCCTTTATTAAAGAATTACTTAAAAATAATATCATACCGTTGAACTTTGGAAATGTAGTAGTAGTAAAAGTAAATAAATAAAAATTATATGTATATTCTAGTGAAGTAGAATATGGTGTGATGATATGCTTCATTTCAGTATGTTTGAACTGATTTTGTTGATAAAGGAAGAACTAACTCCTAAATTTGTTTGCATTTGAATGGTACTCGGTGATGCATCTTTCTTAGTGGATTATATCTAATGTAATTTCATGCTAATTGTATCTTTTATTTTATCTTTGTATGAACAGGAAATACATCAATTAACATGTTTAAACTTACTAGTATATATATCTCATGTCCTAGGTTAATGGATTCTTTACATATCAATCATGAGCATGGTGATGATGAAAATAATGATGCAAATGGTCATCCTACTTATAAAGGTAAAAAGGACACAGGTCGAGGTGCAACTAGAATGGCATCATTGGTTCGAGCTAGAAATAGGGGTGTGAGATTCAATGTTTAGTGGAATGTGCCAATGGTCAGCCTATTTGGGATTATAGTGATAAACTGATGAGTTATTGGGGAGCTAGTATCCACAAAAATGTTCCAATCATTTACCCACACTGGCACAAAGTTCCTCAAAATCTAAAAGATGTTTCTTAAGTTTTGGAATGTAAGTTTACTCCTAGATTTCTAATGATTTTCTAACGAACAATTTGGTAAGAAGATGCCTCGTTGAGTTGTGCAATTATATACCATAGGAGTGCAGACAATACCATGTTACCTTGAGTTGTGCAACTGATGTAGTTGTTAAGTCTGGCAGAAATGGTACGGAGTTGGAGAATTATGTGGGAAATGTATAAATAAGGACATAAGTATAGTGTAGCGTCTTTTATTTCATCTACAATGGTCATCTCATCATCGATATGTTACTTGAAATAAAGTGTGAAATGTAAAGGTTAATTAATGCAATTTTCAAGGTGACATAATCATGTGTAAAATGCAATGGTTAATTATTGCAATTTTCATGTTGTGCAGAGCACTCTTTGGTTTTTGAAGTGAAAAAGGATTGTTAAAGAAGATTAAAATGAGCACCAAGTGGGTGCAGATACAAGTATGTTGTATGACTGTAATTTTTGTTATATTTTACATTTTTTGAAATTATTTATGATTATTTTTCTTTTTGTCATGATTATGCAGTTCCCACGACAAAATAATGGCATTGATTGCGGATATTACGTTATGAGATTTATGAAAGAGATCATTGACCATAAGAAAACCCAAATTTTTGAACATGTATGACCTTTTCTTTGTTTTAAATATAATATGCCTACATTTGATGCTTATTATGTTAATCAAAATTCTTATTTTATATATTCTTTTTGTCCGGTCTTATTTTATATTTTGCAGTACTTTCGTGATTGCAATGTCTCAAGGTATGATCAAGACCATATTGATGAAATCAGAACTCAATGGGCACGTCATGTTCTTCTCATGTGAATATTTGGTTGATTCACCATGTATTTTAATTTGTAATAGGCCACAAATTTTTAATTTAACAATGTTGTAGTCATTTAAATTAGGGTATGTAAATTTTTGAATTGACATATACCGTACTGTACTTTTTTCTCTTTCCTAGAGTGTTACCAAAGATGACTATTAATATTATTTGTATTTTATGAGACATTAAGACATTTATTTCATTTGGGAAACTAAATTTAGTTCTGTTATAGATCTTAGTTAGTTTGTACTGATTCGTTTAGCTACATATTTATTAATAATTATAATTAATGCATTATATAGATTTTGAATTTAAAATATTTAACAGCGCTTTCTAATAAATGCTATTTTTTAATTCAAAATAAATTAATTGTGAATATCATCAACCTTCCCACCATTTTTATTGATTTAATAGCGTTTTATATTCAATGCTGCTAAATTTAATACTATTAATGGCGCTTAACTTAAAAAAATAAAATCTTTCCTCCGTCATCGAGTACACGCGCCATTTCAGCATTCGTTGCGACAAAATGGAGCTAAAATCAAAAAAAATTTGCCAGTTCAGCATCCAGAGTCCACCGTGGCTCGAGAATTTCCACCGTGTCACGGCAGAGTCCACCGTGGCACGGTGGAATTGCATCAAAAAAAATAAAAGTTGCCGCGCCATGGGAATTTCCACCGTGGCACGGTGGAAGTCAGCCAAAAAAAGAAAAAAAAATTGTCGCGCCACTGGGTATTCCACCGTGTCACGGCAGTTTCCACCGTGGCACGGTGGAATATCAGACTTTGCGATTTTTTTTAGTGACGCTGACTTTGCGAATTCTGTTATTTGTTCGACGTTTTTTTATTTATTCTTCCATTGCGTCCGACTTCTTGACTCAGATAAAAAAAAAATCATTATAATTTTTATTTAAGGCGAAAATAAATATGCTATTATTATTATTATAAATGTGACTAAAATTATTGGCATCATGCGCCTTATTTTAAAAATTATAAATCATATAAGCAAAGCAATATTGATCTAATCCTTCTTCACTTTAGGAACCTCCTTCTCTTTTTCAACTAGGTTGGCCTTCACCATTAATGTGTATTTTGTAGCCCGGACCGTCACACCCCTAGTCGAACTTTCACCCCTTTCACCTTTCTTAGAATTCTTTGGTTGCTTCTCTCTATAAACCATCTTCTCCTTACCCTTCCCTTTCACATACACTACTACTAAAAAATGGAATAGAGAACTGTTGAAATAGGCTTTATAAAACGCCTTTGAGGCGTTCTTCTGCTAAGCGATGTATAAAGTTTATAAAATGGGTACAAGAGGCGTTTTGTATGTAAGGGAAAAGGAAACGTGTACAAGAGGCGTTCTATATGCAAAAAATAACCGTTCTCTTGACTTTCTCTCTTCTCTCTCTTCTCCATGGTTCTTCATCTTTGATTGGTTTTCTTCATCAATTTTGGATTTCAATGGCTAATAAGAAGAAGCAAAATACTTCTACACCTCAAGTAGCGCAACAGAAGAATGCTCATGAAGCCTTTGACACGATTTTGCAGAATTTGAGAAATTCAGGTACATCATTTGTTCCTAGTCCGATTCAAGAGGTGGATGAATTGGTTACTCCGGCGCCGGCGTTAGTGCACCCAACATGTGGCGCTATTCCCAGAAGCGATGCTGAGACCATTGCTCTGTTTTCTGAAGCTACTGCTAGGCCAGATTCGAGACATTCCAATAGAACAGTACCTAAGGTTTCTAGGTTTACTATTCCATTGGTTGCTGGTGGATCTGAGCAACGATCTGAGCAAATAATTCCTCCTCGCCATCCCTCAACTTCTCTGGAGCAGAATACGCACAAGCACAGTGAGGATCGGGCTGCTTCTTCACCTTCTCTGGAGCTGAATTTGCACAAGCACAGTGAGGATCGGGCTGCTCTTTTCACTGGGAATTTGGCTGCCAAAGGAGCTTCTTTGTCTTTTTTTGCTCCGAAAGTCCAAGAAGGGAAGAAAATTGCTGAACTACAAAAAGCCGAGCTTGAAGCAGGTAATCAAAAATGGGCTAATGCTCTAGTTTTCTATGTGGTTGGCTTTTACCCTACTATTGCTGCTGTTCTTCGATTTCTTTCTCAACAATGGAGTGATATGCAAAAACCAGATGTTTATTGGCATGATTATGGGTACTTTATCATTAATCTTTTTTCTAGTTTTGATAAAGATACTATACTCTGTTCTAGTCCTCATATGTTCCTTGGAAAACCAGCAATAGTGAAGCCTTGGTGTCCTAAATTTGACTTTAATGCAGAAATTCTTAGAATTGTTCCTCTCTGGGTTAAGTTTCCTAATCTCCCACTTAATTGTTGGGGATCTGACACTCTTAGCCGCATTGGTAGTTTGCTTGGAGTGCCAATTTGTGCTGATGAGTGTACTACTAGACAACTTAGAGTGTCTTTTGCTAGGGTCCTAATTGAAATTGATGTTACAAAGCCTATGCCTAAATCTGTCTTGGTTGAGAGTCCTTCAAAGGAACTATTGGAGCTCAAGGTAGTGTATGAGTGGGCTCCACCTTTTTGTTCTAAGTGCAACAAGGTTGGTCATGATTGCTCTATTAAACCTGTTGTTGCTAAGCCTAAGCAGGTTCTTAAGCAGCCAGCTCCTGTTGCTCCTAAGCAAAAGCAGGCTTGGGTTCCTAAGCCTAGCCAAGCTCCTGCTCCTGTTGTTGATGTTGGTGCTTTTGTTCATGGACAATCTGTCATTACTCCACAGGTTCATACTTCTCAAAATTCAGATGAGGGGTGGAGAATAGTTGGAAGGAAGACAAAAAGCCAACAAACTAGAGTTCATCAGCCTGCCTCTACCTCTAATGCTTTTGTTGCTTTATTTGCAAATGAAATGGATGGTGCAGGTGGCTTCACTATAAATCCAAGCGGGGGTGAGGTTAATCCCCCTTTGGTGTCATGATTTACTCTATTTGGAATGTCAGGGGCCTGAATGACCCTGGCAAAGTTGCCTCTGTAAAGAGGTTGCTTCATTCCCATTCAGTTGATGTTGTTGGTCTGCTTGAAACAAAAATCAAATTGAAAAATGTTCTCACTTATCAGAGGAAGTTTGGCTCTTCTTGGCTTTGGTTGTGCAATTATGATCATTCTCCCAAAGGGAGGATCTGGCTTGGTTGGAATGCAGATAGAGTAACTGTTAATGTCTTGAAGGTTCATGAACAGTTCATTCATTGTAGTGTCTCTTCTAAGGACCTCTCTACTCAAATTCATCTCACTATTGTCTATGGGCTTCACTCCATTCATGATAGGTTTCCTTTGTGGGAAGATATTAGAAGCATCTCTATTCAGCATTCTACTTGGCTTTGTGCTGGTGACTATAACTCTGTTCTTCATACTTTAGATAGGCTTCATGGTAATGATGTTACAGATTATGATACTAGAGATTTTCAGAGTCTGGTTGATGATCTGGACCTCACTAAGATCAAAAGCAAAGGAGCCTTCTACTCTTGGTCAAATAAGGCTCACACTGGTCCTAGAACTCTCTCTAGGATTGATAGGGTCTTTGGTAACCAAGCTTGGCTGGCCTCTCATGGGCATGCTAAGACTGTCTATCTCCCCCCCTCTTTATCTGATCATATTCCAGTTATGTTGGATGTTTGTTCTTCCCCTGCTGGGAAAGGTAGACCTTTTAGGTTTCTAAACTGTATTGCTGATCACCCTGATTTCCTTGATACTGTTTCTCAGGCTTGGAGTTCTGGTAGTTCTATTTGGCAGAAACTTAATTCTGTGAAGTCTAGTATCAAGTTTCTTAATAGCAAGTAGTTTGGCAACATTGAGGAAAAGATTGATCAAGCTAATATTGAGCTTTCTGGGATTCAGAACTTAATGGCTCAGAACCCTGATGGTTTGGATTTATATGCTAAAGAATCTGATGCTATTAAGGTTGTCAAGCACTGGAATGATATTCAGGAAAGCATCTTCAAACAAAAATCTAGGATCAATTGGATTAAGCTTGGAGATGGCAATTCTCATTATTTCTTCTCTGTGATGAAGAATAGATAAGCAAGGAATAGAATTGACTCCATATTTGACTCTAATCAGGTGTTGCTCAAGGATCCGGATGCTATTTCTCATGAAATTATCTCCTTCTATAAGTCTCTTTTAGGGACTCAGGCTCCTTGGCTCCCTGTTGTTGACCTTGTTACTATGAGGAGGGGTAAACAGCTTAGCTCTGTTGCTCAGAGTTATCTCATTAGGCCTATTTCTCATGCTGAAATTGATGCTGCCCTTAAGGGAATTGATAACACTAAAGCTCCTGGTATTGATGGTTTTAACTCCTTCTTCTTTAAGAGAGCTTGGCATATTGTGAAAGATGATATTTATGCTAGTGTTATTGATTTCTTTACTAAAGGGACCTTGCCTAAACAATGGAATTGCACAACTATCACTCTTGTTCCTAAAATCCCTAATGCTTCCCATGTTAAGGATTTTAGACCGATAGCATGTTGCACTGTGGTTTATAAGCTCATCTCTAAGGTCATAACTGCTAGACTTGCTGCGATCATCGGTGAGGTGATTGATGATGCTCAAGCAGGTTTCATTCCAGGCAAGCACATTGGTGACAATATCCTTCTTGCAACTGAATTGATCAAAGGCTATGATCACAAATTTATCTCTCCTAGATGCATGGTTAAGGTGGATTTGAAGAAAGCCTATGATTCAGTTGAGTGGGGATTCTTGATCACTGTTATGCAGGAGCTTGGTTTTCCTCAGAGATTTGTTAGCTGGATTTGAACTTGTCTTACTTCTGTCTCTTATTCTAATCTTATTAATGGTTTTCCTGCCCCTCCCTTTGAAGCTAAGAAAGGTTTAAGACAAGGTGACCCTATGTCTCCCTTTCTTTTTGCTATTGGTATGGAATACCTCTCCAGCTGCCTTGATGAGATTAGGTTAACTCCTGATTTTAACTTCCATCCTAGATGTGAAAAGTTAAACCTAACTCACATGATGTTTGCTGATGATTTATTGATGTTTTCTAGAGCTGATAGTGTTTCTGTTAAGCTCCTCTTCCAAGCCTTCTTGAAATTCTCGGGTGCCTCTGGGCTTTCTGCTAATCTTGACAAAAGTGAAGTCTATTTTGGAGGAGTTTATGTTGATGTTCAAACAGAGCTGAGGGAGCTTCTTGGTGTTTCCCAAGGTACTATCCCTTTTAGGTATCTTGGGGTCCCTCTCTCTTCCAAGAAGCTTACTATTGCTCAGTGTAGGCCTTTGGTGGAGAAGGTGAATGCTAGAATCCAAGGGTGGATGGCTAAACACTTGTCTTATGCTGGGAGGCTTTAATTGGTGAAGAGTGTGTTGTTTGGTATTCATACATAATGGGCTCAAATTTTTATCTTGCCAAAGAAAATTTTGAAAGAGATTGAGGCTAGATTCAGGTGCTTTCTTTGGACTGGATCCTTTACCCCTGCTAAAAAATCTTTGGTTGCTTGGAATAATGTCTGTCTCCCTAAAGTTTATGGTGGCTGGAACTTGCTTTCTCTTCCTGAATGGAATAAAGCAGCTATCACTAAGTTACTTTGGGATATTGCTCACAAGGCTGATAACCTTTGGGTTAAGTGGGTCCATATCTATTATTTCAAGCATAAAAATTGTTGGACCACCCCTACCCCTGCTAAATGCTCTTGGTTTTTGAAGAAGATTCTGAGTTGTAGTGATGTTGTGAATGATCAAAGGGGATGGGATGGTTTCATACAGGGCAACAAAGTGAAAATCAAGAAGCTTTATGCTGCTATTAGACCTCAAGTCCCTAAGGTTCCTTGGAAGAGAGTTATTTGTCATAACTTAGCAACTCCTAAAAGTGTTTTTAACTTGTGGCTAGCTTTGTGGAATAGGCTTGTCACTAAGGATAGGTTGCTCCAATGGCACATTTCTTGTGATCCAAGGTGTTTCTTGTGCTTGAATAGTAATGAAAGTGTTCAACACTTATTCTTTGATTGTGAATACTCTAGACAGGTTTGGAACGAGGTGTTGGGTATCTTACATGTTTCCAAGCTTGTTCAGCAGTTTAGTGATGAGATTGATTGGCTGAAGAAAATCTGCAGAAGTTCCAGATTGAAAAACAAAATGATCCATGTAGCCTTCACTGAAACGGTTTATGGTATTTGGATTCGGAGGAATGCAGTCTTGTTTACTGGTTGTTGCAAATCTGTTGATGCTCTAGTTAGGGATATTATCTTTCATTCAGTATGTAGAATCCCAGCAGGAAGCAAATATTTGATTGCTTAGGAGCTGCTTCTGCTTTTCTGGTCTTCTGATGCTGTTGCTGGTTCTTGATGATTTCTGATTCCTAACTTCTGAGTTCTGGTTTCTTGTTTTTGGGGTTGTTGGTGTTGCTGGCTTGTTTTTGTTGCTCTTGTGGCTCTTTATTTGTTGTTGGTTTCTGCTGTTGCTTTTGTTCTATTGTTGTTGCTGAAATTCAGCTGTCTTTTGCTGTTGCTGACTGATTTGATGTCCTATCTGCTTTGGTTCTGTTCTGGTCAGCTGTTGGTTGTGCTGGGGGGTGTGTTGATGCTGCTGGCTTGCTGTTTTTTCGGCTGCTAGCTGTCTGCACTGCTGTATTGTTGTTGCTCTGCTGCTGTTGCTGGTTGCTCTGCTTGCTATCTGCTCTGCTGCTGGTCAACAGCTAGTTCTGCTGAGGGCTGCTGTTCTGTTCAGCAGCTGCTGCTGCTGGCTGATGTTTCAGCAGTTGCTGTTGTTGGAGTTGCTGACCTACACTGTTGCTGTTGTGTTGCTGCACTGTTCTGTTGTGTGTTGCTGCACTGTTCTGTTGCTGTGTGTTTTATGTTGCTGTTTTTTTCTCTTACTGATTTTGCTGGTTTTAGGTGCTTTGTTGGTTGCAATTGTGGCAAGCCAGTGTTGCTAATCTTGAAATCTAGTGCTTTGTCTTATTGCTTTCCCTGAGATGATGTATTACCCTCTTTTGTCTAGTCCTGTTGCTTTTGCAACTGAGTCTAAGTGGAGTTCTTGGGCCTTGTTTCCAGAACCCTTCCTAGAAGGTGGCTGGAAGCTTGTGCTCAGGGTGTTCTTGTCTCTCTCTCCTGAACCCTTCCTAGAAGGTGGCAGGAGATTGAGCTTGAACTGTTTGGTGTTGGTTGGCCTATTTTAGGTCTTGTGGGGTTTGGTGTTTGTTATAACTTAGATTTTGTAAGTTGTAACTTTTCCTTTTGGTAATAAAATTTCTCTTATTTTCCAAAAAAAAAAAAAAAAAAATGTTCTCTATCCTATTTTATATGCTTATAAAAATGAATAAAAGAGAACGGTTAGCAAAGATAACAGTTCTCTTTATCAATTTTTTTTAAAAAAAAATAATATTAATTTTGCATCACGGAAGTTGCATATATACTACTATGTAATCTACATCATCAATCAATAAATAAAATTGGATTGTAATTGAAAAAGTAAAAGTCAGATGCCAAATAATTAAAACAAACTTTATAATCCTTTATATTGAATTAATTAGTACATCTCAAATACATTTTAATTCAATTCTCTAACCTAACTTAATTATCAATGTGCTAACAAGCAACAACTTCAGAAGAGCATCAACTTGAATTACCCTTGAAATTCGAAACCACTTAATCTAATTCAACCGCAACGTCGCTTCACCAACTTGAACCACTAGCAGCGCTTCCAGCCTTCCACCAAACTGAACCACCAACGACGACCTGAACGACTTTCAACGCTTCTACTAGCCTCAACTACCGCAGCGCCTCCACCGATAGTGCGTGCAACTAGTGAAGTCGCAACAAACACAAAATCAATTGATAAAAATCAAAATCATAACATAAAAATCAATTGATAAAAATCAAAATCATAACATAAAAATCAATTGATAAAAATTATAGATCTAAAACTAATATTTGAGAATTAAACAAGCTAATGTTAAACACCAGTCAACCCGCAACAACTTATGACCATAAGCAGAGCAAATTAAAACAAATATTCATTGGCTTTATCATTCGCACATCACATTGTATCGGAGTTGGGGTTTGAAAACAACACTCGTTGTAAACAAAGGAAGAATACGACAGATTTTTCGCACACCGCATTTTTTGTAACATTAGCAGTGATGCTTGGAGTTAAATCGCACGTCAATTCTTAGAACATTACGGACGAATCTAGGTAGAAGAGAAAGGAGTTAGGGTTTCATAAGAGAGAGGGAATGAGAGAAGAGGGAAAAGAAGAGGGGAAGTTATGAAGGAGAATGAGATGACGGCTATTAAGAGGAAAGAGGAGTTAGGGTTAGAATTTTGGGCCTTTTGGTAAGTTAGATTTTTCTTTTTTTTTTAAAAAAAAAAAGAATAATGTTAAACATATAGAACGGTTAACCAGGAGAGGCAATTTATATTGTAAGTGTAAAATTTTGGATATATCAAATAGAACGGTTAACTTAGAAATGCGTCCTATATAATAAAATCACAATTTAATAAAAATAATAAAATAAATCATATAGAACGGTTAACTTAGACAGGCATTCTATATAATCCTAGAGATCGCCTATCTAAGTTAACCGTTTTGTATCTTGCGTTTCTTATTCTAGTTTTTGTAGTAATGATAATTCTTCCTCTTAGGCATTATAGGAGTCTTAAACTCTATCCCTTGTGTTCTCGGACCTAAAAAATCTTTAGGAAGCGCTTTCTTACTTCCAAGACGGCCCTTCACATCAAAGTTGCGTGATCCGACTCGATCCCTTCTACTTCTAGGATTCAACCATGCCTTGTATGCACTAGATAAGGGAGGAGGAGCTTAGTTACTTGCAGAAA